ACGCAACGTCGGGTCATGAAAGGCTCAGCTTTCTAGATGCGTTTTCGGGGTATCATCAAATTTCAATGGCCGAGGCCGATCAAGAGAAGACGTCATTTATCACGGATTTCGGCACGTACTGTTACACAGCCATGCCATTTGGCTTGAAAAACGCAGGAGCGACGTATCAGAGGATGGTGAACAAAGTCTTTCGTGGGCTAATCGGGGATGTCGTAGAAGTCTATGTTGACGATATGGTGGTCAAGAGTGCCAGAGCCAATGACCATGTGGCCTATTTGCAAAAAGTGTTTGACGTTGCCCGACAAAGCAGATTAAGGTTCAATCCAGAGAAGTGTGTTTTTGGTACCGCAGGTGGAAAATTTCTAGGTTTCATGATCACGCAAAGGGGCATCGAAGTGAACCCGGACAAAATTCGGGCAATCCTAGAAATGAAAAGCCCCACCAGCAGGAAAGAGGTTCAGAGGCTGACGGGACGGGTAGCGACCTTAAATCGTTTCATGAGCCGGGCGGCGGACAAATGCTACCACTTCTTCAAAGCCATAGGGGGCTCCTCCAATTTTGAGTGGACCCAAGAATGCGAAGAGTCTCTTAGGAACTTGAAGCAGTCATTACAAGAGCCCCCGGTCTTGACCAGCCCGTCTCCTGGGGACGTGTTGTGTCTCTACTTGGCAGTATCACCAAAGGCAGTCAGCGCGGTCCTGGTGAAAGAGTTCTCGAAGGCGCAGAAACCAGTCTACTATGTGAGCCAAGTATTGAGGGGTGCAGAAATAAGATACAGCCTGACTGAACAGCTGGTGTTTGCATTAATTGTCGCAGTCAGGAAATTGAGGCCTTACTTTCAGTCTCACACGGTGCAAGTAATGACTGACCAACCTATCAAGCAGATTCTACATCGGCCCGAGACCTCTGGGAGGCTGTTAAAATGGGCCATCGAGTTAAGCGAGTTTGATATCGAATTCAGGCCAAGGACAGCTATTAAGGCACAGGCTTTAGCAGACTTCATCGTTGAGCTCACCACCCCGCCCGAGCTCCCACCAGGGGAGCAGGCAGATTGGAAAATTTTTGTCAATGGATCTTCAAATGACGAAGGATCCGGGGCGGGGATCATAATGATAGGTCCAAATGAAGAAGAGTTGGAATACTCACTGCACTTTGAATTCCCAGCAACAAATAATGAGGCCGAGTACGAAGCGACAATCACGGGTTTGGGATTGGCAGCCATACTCGGGGTCACCTCAGTGGAAGTTTGCAGTGACTTTCAGTTGATAATCGGGCAAGTGACGGGGAAATTCGAAGCAAAGGACGGAAAGATGGCTGCATATTTAATGGAGGTCAAAAACTTGCAGAGGGGGTTCACTAAGTTTAAGATAACTAAGGTCCCTCGAAAGGACAATGAGCGAGCGGACGCGCTGGCTAAGCTCGCATCAGCCAACCCCAGACGACTGCCTCGCACAGCCAGTGTGTAAATTCTGCGACAACCTAGCATCCAACATGTAATCGATGTTATGAATGTAGAAAATGAGGAAAGTTGGATAGACCCGCTGTTTGAGTATCTCACAAAGAATAAATTGTCGGAGGATGCTCTCACAGCCAGAAGGCTAAAAGTTCGGGTAGCCTCGTTTGCCATCATCGATGGGCAACTCTACAAGCGAGGCTTCACAATGCCATATTTGAAGTGTTTGCGACCGATAGAAGCACAGGAGGTGCTAGTCGAAGTACATGCGGGAATTTGTGGCAACCACCAAGAGGCTACTACCCTTGCGTTCAAAACGCTTCGACAAGGATATTATTGGCCCAGTATTAAGGAAGATGCTAGAGAGTTGGTGAGAAAATGCGATGCATGCCAACGCCATGGAAATCTGATCCACATTCCGGCCGAGCAACAGACGGCAGTTTTCGGGGTGTGTCCCTTCTTCCAATGGGGGATGGACATCTTGGGACCTTTGCCCCTGTCAAAAGGACAGAGGAAGTTCTTGTTAGTTGCCGTCGACTACTTTACTAAGTGGGTGGAAGCTGAGCTTTTGGCCACCATCACGACTGCAAAGATACAGGGATTCGTCTGGAAAAATATCATATGCAGGTTTGGTATACCTCGGGTAATCATTACAGATAATGGAAAACAATTCGATAATCACAGTTTTAGAGCCTTCTGCACCAGCTACCACATCAACCACAGGCTGACTTCAGTTGCTCACCCGCAGGCAAATGGGCAAGCAGAAGTGACCAACCGAACCATACTGTGAGATTTGAAGACAAGATTAGAAAAAGAAAAAGGACTTTGGGCTGAGGAGTTGCCCAATTTACTGTGGGCATATCACACTAACCCCCCGAGAGTCGATCGGGGAGACGCCATTCAAACTGGCCTTTGGGATGGAAGCCGTGGTTCCGGTTGAGATCTTAAGCGAGACAGGAAGGATGAAAGTCAAGCAACCCAACGACGCAGCAACTAGGGGAGAACTCGACCTCCTCAAAGGGGTAAGGGACAAGGCGGAGATAAGAATGATGGCTTATAAATGAAGAGCCGCTGAGTACTTCAATCGGAGAGTGAAGCCAAGGGTCTTCCAGCCAGGAGATCTCGTTCTAAGAGATGCAGCAGCGGCAGGACGCCCCCCACCAAAGCTTGGTCCAAACTGGAAAGGTCCGTACGAAGTGATTCGCAGGCTGGGAAAGGGAGCTTACAACTTGAAAGATATAAAAGGAAGGCCGCTAGGTAGACCATGGAATGCAGAACACCTCAAAAAGTATTACCAGTAGAACTCAAAATGTACACGCCGGCTGCGCTTTTGTAAATATAGTAGATTAGGTTGCATTGCTTATTTTCTCTATGTAATGCCTCACAAAGGCACCCTTAGTTGTAACAATTTATCTTATTCAATGAAAGACCTTGGCGGTGACGGATGATGAGGGCGCTACGGAAGGGCCAGCCTAGCTGGGACGTCCCGGTGCGCCTACTGAGCTCACAAGACCAGGAATTTTTTATACCAACAGGCAACTTTGAAATCCACGCCCACCCCAGTAAGACATGCGGTCGATATAGCCTATGCGGCTAGGTGGAGAGCCTTGGAAAGTCAAAAAATTGGCTAAGGTCCTTAACCACCAAATCACCCCCTGCGGTCGACATAGCCTACGCGGTTAGGTGGAGAGCCTTGAAAAGTCAAAAAATTGGCTAAGGCCCTTAACCACCAAATCGCCCCCTGCGGTCGACATAGCCTACGCGGTTAGGTGGAGAGCCTTGAAAAGTCAAAAAATTGGCTAAGGCCCTTAACCACCAAATCACCCCCTGCGGTCGACATAGCTTACGCGGTTAGGTGGAGAGCCTTGGAAAGTCAAAAAATTGGTTAAGACCCTTAACCACCAAATCACCCCCTGCAGTCGACATAGCCTATGCGGCTAGGTGGAGAGCCTTGAAAAGTCAAAAAATTGGCTAAGGTCCTTAACCACCAAATCACCCCCTGCGGTCGACATAGCCTACGCGGTTAGGTGGAGAGCCTTGAAAAGTCAAAAAATTGGCTAAGGCCCTTAACCACCAAATCGCCCCCTGCGATCGACATAACCTACGCGGTTAGGTGGAGAGCCTTGGAAAGTCAAGAAATTGGCTAAGGCCCTTAACCACCAAATCACCCCCTGCAGTCGACATAGCCTGCGCGGCTAGGTGGAGAGCCTTGAAAAGTCAAAAAATTGGCTAAAGCCCTTAACTACCAAATCGCCCCCTGCGGTCAACATAACCTACGCGGTTAGGTGGAGAGCTTTGGAAAGTCAAAAAATTGGCTAAGGCCCTTAACCACCAAATCACCCCCTGCGGTCGATATAGCATACGCGACTAGGTGGAGAGCCTTAGAAAAAATATATATATATATGAACACTCCCTCGCACCATCAAGCAGTAAAAAGAAAAATAACATGAGAGACGACATTTTAAAGGAACCACGCATCCAGCGCCAATAATATCGAATGAAAGATGTGTTTATACATTCGAAGAATTCTTGCCCACACCCCGAGCAAGTAGGAGATAACAAGGCTAAGCAAAAGTAAATACTAAAAAGGAAAAACTAGCAAGGAAAACAACAACTAAGAAATGTTTCAGCTCGAAGAGGAGACATCCCCACTACCCCCTTGTGATGAACGACCGAGTGATCTGGATGACTGAGCTACGCTCTCCTTCCCCTTGCGCTGTGCGAGAAATCTATCCAAGCCGGAGGGGTCTATAGAAGGATGTTCGGCCATAATCCACTCCTTGGAGAGCTTAATTGATGTTGATATTGCCTTCCCCCCATATGAGTTCAAAGCCTTAGCATAATCGGACGATGTCTTATACTGATCCACAGCCGCCTTGAGATCTCCAGCGTACTCACCTGAGGCCTTATACCTCTCAACCGCCTCTTCAGGAGCACGAGCCAAAACAGAGCGTAGGTTGTCGATCTCCGTCTCTTGCTCACGAGCTCGAGCGTCCGACATCTCCAGAGATTTCCTCAAGGAGGATATTTTCTTCTTGTGGTGATGAGCCTCCTTTTTCTTTTCTTCAGTAAGAGTTTTCAGCTCTGAGACTAGGCGGCGATTCGACTCAGCGAGTCCGGTCTGGAAGGCCACCACCTAAAAAAAAAAAAATGTATAAGGGGAAAAAGAGTGAAACCACGAATTAAGGTCTAACTTAAAAAGCGAGATCCAACATGAAAAAAAAAATCTCGAAATGAGAAACATACCCTTTGAAGGTAAACGGAAGCAACCCTTTCTATGTCATCTGCGCTGCGTCCTGCAATTGCTCTGGATCGAGCGGGGGTCACCAACAACTTAAGCACCCCCATCTCATGATAGCCCCGGGTGGGAGGAAACCCAAAGCTGGGAAGCGAGTCCTCGCGCTCACATCGCGCACGACTAGGAGCTCCCGGCCTAGGAGCTGGAACCACATCACGAGGCTCATCTAAAGGCTGAGAAATCTCGTTGATCGTCTGAGACTTTCTCCCAAGGTCGCCCCCCCTTCTTCTCTTTGAAGGGATAGGCAAAGGATCCACCTCACCCTCCTGCCCCTGGTCAGGCATGGAGTCCATGACTCCTTCCAGATCAAGCTCGGCCCCTGCACATGTAAGTTGAAATCAGTTAAACTCACAAGGTAGAGTACCAAAAAAAAAAAAAAAGAAAAACTCACAAGGTAGAGTACCAAAAAGAAAAAAAAGAAAGAGGGGGGGGGGAGAGAGAGAGGGGGGGGGTGAATATGAAAGCTTACCATCAACGAGGGTAAGGCCCTCATCTCCTCCTGGCAGAGTCCTCAATACCTCATCAAGATCAAAGTCCATACCTGAAACAAACATCCAAGGTCGTTAGTCTCGACGAGCTAAAGGCAAAAATAATAAATGAACGTGTGTGCATGCTAAAAAAATAAAAT